AAAACACTGTGCACAGTGTCTATACTTTTACCTATAGAACGACGAATTGAAGTGTAGATTTATTAGAGCTAGTAAGAAATGAACTTCTTGTAGCCTAAACCTGCATGGAATATAGAACGTGAAATGAATTTCATATCGTCTTTTATCTATAAGCGTTCCAACTGCTATCATTCTCACAGATTGACCTTTGACATTTATGGAGCAACTAACTATACGGGCCAGTAACCTAGGAACTGAATCCAACTGGGACAAAGTTTGCGACGCATTAATTTTGAAACAAGTATATTGTATATAAGAAACTGTAGAGCCACTTATGACATAAAATTGGAAGGAATACGAAACTTCGCAGTCTTGAGAAAAACTTTACGTAATCCATGTAACCTTTTGCGAAGTCACTTTGGCGTAAAAATAGAATATAGTTAGGTTTGTATTTTTAAAACAAACATTATTTTCTCACAAAGGACTTTTTGAGTATAGAGATTTTAAACCAAATATTGGACAATTCTTTACGTAACAAAAGAAATTCATTCTCCAAAATATCAATTATGGTAAGCGCACAAAGGTATGATCATGAAAATGTTACCCATTCAATGCACTGTACAGAGAAGAGAATGCAGAATAACATTAGATACTTATTAAAATGTGTTATCAAAATGGAAAGAAAGCACTAAGGCTTTACTGATAAGGAGTTGTGAGGAAACGTCATATATTATCTATCGTGAGTTGACTACGACGATCGCGCGCTTCGTATACATGCTAATGGTATGCTAAAGGGCCGCCTTGGCGGAATATTTGATGTCAGGGTTGCTACGTGATAGGGTAAGAATTTCAGGATTTGAAATTACTTTTCGAGGTGCAAAAAGTAAAACAGATGCAGTAACTCTAGGTTGTCGACCGACCGATCAATCACCGCAGTCGTAGGCCAACCTTAGTTAGTCTTTGGTCAACAAATGGCTCTGTAACATTTTTGCCAATGACCAACTGCAAACAAAGGCAATCACGATCGTAAGTCGATAGTCGATAGCGATATCCTTTATTTTACAGTTGGAAACATTTTGCTAGACTCCAATTACGAGAAAATCAAGGAGCAAGATATTTCTAAGTTCGATGAATTTAGATGTTAAAAGAGTTAACCGTACGCACGCGTAATTTATAGTCAGCCTAACTGTGCGGTAAGTTTAGGTGAATCATTTAAGTACAAATAATAATTTTTAAGCATGCATCAGTTTCGAAAATCATTCTAAAATTACAGTCAAGCGTGCAAGACATACACAGTGGGCGCAATGTTTCAAGATTGATTGTAAATGAAAATCTATGCGTATGCTCCATGCATTTGCAAGTTTGGTGCGTGCCTTTGAATACCATATTATTTAAACGAACTTAGCGAGTTTTACCATGGATATGCTTAGCTCGTGTGACCTTTTCATTGGCTTCGCTTCAACCGAAGGCATTAAAAAACCTTTGCTACATTATATTAGCTTCTTTTATTATAAATATCTAACTTTAAATTTGAAAGAACTCGATACCCGTCTCCCCTATTCCATTTTCGTGTTGTCTAATCCTAGCGGTTATGTAAAGCAGTTGTGGGTCATTGAGTTCAATGTCGCAGTGCCTCGTCTTGAAAGTTGTTGTCAGCCCTATTTTCGGGAAATGTGTTACCTATATTATGCAAGTGCGATCGATAAGACGGGCAGGAGCACGCGAAGCACGAATCAAACGGCAACCTTGACCTGCTACCAAATGTCTGTTTACCACTTACCTGGTACCATTGCTGTTTTAATGCCTATTTCGTAGCAAGCAAGTATGCTTTAATTAAATGATTAAATTTAAATAAACCAAGCAAGTAGTAAGTAATTTTTGAAAACACTCTGGTGTTATATAGAGCATCTTGTAAAATAGAATTAAAAAATTAACAGGTTTATGCCATTACAATTAAACCACAACAATTTAAAATGATAAGCTTGTATGAAAATTTCAAGATGTCAACCTAAACAGATTATTCTTTGTAAGATTTTTCTTCACTGATTACATATATTATACTATCTATATCTATCAATCTCGTTAAATATAGTATACTCTCTATATCTATCAATCTTGACATTTAAGATTTAAATTCCGCTATGCCATTAACGATAAAAACTATCTAACGATGAAAATCTCAGACTTGACTGTTCTGAACTGTACATAGACATTCTTGAAACCAAACTCCACAAAAAAATGCAGGCTTGGTCAAGTACAGTAGTGTATATTATGTTTTAAATTTATTAAATTAGAAAAATTATTATGATAAAATTTGCTGAGCAGTAAGAGCCTACCTGTTCTACTACACTTCTTTTTCTTTAACTTCCATAGCCACAGTTATAATATTAAACTTCTTTACTTCTATGGTTTAATGCCATTAGTAAATATTTCATAAATATACCAGTAAATACAACAATAAGCAATGAAAAGGAAAACAAATAAAGATAAAGAATAATTAAATTAAATTAAATTAATTAATTAAATTAAAAAATTAATTAATTAAATTAAATATTGAACTTTAAAATAATAATTGTATGCGAAACAATGGCACTTAGCTTAATGTAGTATTAATAAATTTAAATGTAAAAAAAAATTATTTAAATATTTTTGACACTGTCAAGAGCTCATAAATTTATTAACATAGTGAAGTAAAATTGAATTTTATTAACTTTAAAACACCTCAACCTTATTACATATCAAAATAAAAAGAGAAAGTATTGTTATCTACAATATAGTTTGCCTAGTCCAGTAAGAACCAGGCATGATCTAGTTAGGGACTCGGCCCTCTGCTTGTCATGTTCCTAAAATTCCTCTTTTAAGATCACAGTTACCTACATTAATTACATGGCATGTTCAAACCAATACAGTCACTATCCAAATCAAAATCTTCAAATTCAAACTTATTTTCATAAACTTTAATGCCATTGTCTGAAATTTTACCTTTTAGTTTTTGTGACATCATTGATGTCAAAGGGTGATTATATTTGAAGCCGATAAGTGTTACCTGGTAGAGCAGCTGCTCTACCAGGAACACATACAACTCATACTACAGGAAAATCTTTAGTGTGAGTGTTAAGGGAATTCCCTAGATATATTTCTTCCACTTTTTGCTTATTGGCCTTTTAAGGTTTCGTTGGTTTCGAGTTTTCCACTTAGGAATAATAAATATAGTGTAAAAATAATATAAAAAACATGACGATCATCACCAATGTCCAGTTGTCCCTAGATTAGAGTTGTTGCTTGGCAGATAATATTATTTTAAATAATTTCAGGATTTTCAAAAGTGAACACAATCTTGAGACGATAAAACTGTTTCAAGCAATTATACAAATGAGAATACTATTCTAACTTCAACATGGAATGTTAAAATACTCAAAAGTTCATAAGATTTGATTAGATTGCGAAAAAGGCTCTGAATGTCTAACAAATAAAATAAATTGATTACATTCTTGAGATAACTGACCTCAAAGTACATGAGCCATGAAGAATGTACTTGGTACAGTCATTATAACCACTACTGCGTATAGTACTGTTGATAGTGGACTACTAGAATCTTAGTAATAACTGGAACAACGTATGTTCAGCTCAAATTTACCGTTGCATCGTATTTTTTTACAGCACTTGAAAAGTAAATTCAAACTTTTGTCTTAGACAGTTCCACTAAACGACAATCTCGAAACTTTTCACGCAAGATACAAAGATCGAATTACGTGATCGCCGACTAGATGAAAGCAACATAACCAAAAATTGCAAGAACAAAATATTATTAGGCACTGTGACAGCCAAAACTTACCATCTTTGACATTCTTCGAAGACTGAGATGACGATACTCCGGGTGTAGTTTTATCATTAGCACAGTACATTGTTACGGCGTCCATCAGTTTGTGTTAATAAACCACTCTCATCTAACAAAATTACACATATTATCAACATGTAACTGATTTTATCACTATACTTTCGCACGAAACGCGAAACGCGGCGGCCATTCCACATTCCGGTTGTAAATATCGCATCATAGACAAATAATGCAAATCGAAAAATATATCTTGCAATGGCAGCAATGTACTACAAACGAAATCTATCATCTTTGTTTTAGTCTATGCGTCGTTTAAGTAGACACAATCCGAGATCCGAGGTCCATATACATAGGTGGTCTCATTATGACGTCATAGGATTGCCAAATTACATTGAATGTGCTGTTTCATCAAAATTCCTTAGTGTAAGTATAGATAGTGTATAGTAAAGTACATAGCGGTCAAATAACATTTGTTTCCTTGAAAGTAAAGTGATTCAATGTACTTTCGTATTATTTTAAATTTAACAAGCTCAGCGTAAAATATAATAGTTTCGTCTACTGTAGCGAGTAACAATCTGGAATCTGTTAGGGCTACTTGGAATCAGAAATATTGAACCACCGGTGATTTTAGAAGTGACACGGTGAAGAGCGTGTCAACACCATCAAGGTCAACGAGGTCAACACTTAAAATTAGATTTAAATTTTACTCTATGTCTATTGAGAGACGAAACGTTTAAATTTTGAATGAACTCGATGTATTGTTTAGATTTAGTTCGGTTTATTAATTAGTAAAAGAAAAATGAATGGTTTTGCAAAGGGTCAAAGGAACTAAGGATTTATGGCGGAGTATGAAGGTAAATAAATAGCAAACATAGAATAAAAATATATGTAAGGGCATTATTCCAATTTATTATTTTCTCTGTTAAATAAAGATCAAACGTTGAAACACTCACACGTTTTAAATCTAAAACAAGTCAGTTAAAACACTCTGTCAGTTACTAAAACTATTACCGCGAAAAGCCAAGAAAAATCAGAAAAAAAACCTTTTGCAATAAAATGACAACACAGCAAAATAAATGTCAAAGTTATCAAGTTTGCTTAGCACTTCAGTCTTCACTTTGTTAGTACAATTTTTGAATTTTATTGATAACACTGTATACTAAATAAGTAATTAAATTTGCTTCTAAACATGATGCGATATCAGTATTGGGTGACCAAAAAGACTGTATTGAAAAAATTGGGTACAAAAGAAGACGAATGTATTATTGCCTCTGACGCGGAACTTGATGCAAAATTGGAGTTATTTCGATCAATATCAGATAGTTGCTTGCAGTTACAGCGTGTCTTAGATCAGTACCAGGAACGATTGTGTATTTTGGCTCAAGAGGAGAATGCTTTAGGGAAGTTTTTACGAGATGCGGGGAAGAATTCAGATGCGTCGGGGAAACACATGGTATCCACTGGGAAAGCTATATCTTATTCTGGACAGCAGCGTTTATCGGTGCGATCACCTCTTCTAAGGCTGTACCATGAAGTGGAGACGTTTAGAGGTCGTGCAGTGAGCGATATGCGTGCCACAGTGTCGGCTATGGAAAAAGCCCGCATTGAATACCGCGCCGCACTGAGTTGGATGAAATCAGCCAGTTCCGAGCTCGATCCTGATACAGGACGTGGTCTCGACAACTTTCGCAAGGCGCAGCGGCAAGTGCGCGAGAGCAAAAAGCTGTTTGATAAGTTGACACTTGATGTGTTGCAAAAGGTAACTTATCATTGTCAATATTTTACGCCTACACATTGTATTTTATTACTATTGGTTGCTATGGATGTATAATCCATCAAAAACAATCTGTTAATTGGACATAGTTAAACAAAAAAAATTCAATGGATATCTAGTCAGATTGAGATATGGCAGTTTGAAGTTTAAATGTGTTTCTCACTCTTGTTTTATTTTCAAAACTTATAATGTCATGTAACTCCAGAGATATTTATTTATGTTTATGTGTTGGATTTTTTTGCTGATCTAAGAGGTTAGACTTTAAGAACTGTTTGGTACATATAACTCATTTTTTGATAATTTTGTGGATTGGATCTTTTTTGCTTAACTACGTCCAATTATGAAAATGTGTGAAATATTGAAAGCCAAGAAATAGAATTCCACCTATTCAACCCATTTTGTTTACTTTATATTATTGTACAAAATATTTTTTAAGTTGTATTTTCTTTGTTTTTATTCTTCTGTTAACATCTAGAATGTTCTGCTTGTGAGTGTGGTATAGCATGTTGTATCTTTTTGGGTATAAGTTTGCACTACTAGGCAATGTAAGTAATTGCCAAAAGGTTTAGGTGATTGCCCAATTTGCTTGTATTAAGAAGTGAGCTGTTTAATCTCTTCCTTGATAGTTTAATCTCTTCCTGCCAAATTATTTGAGAATCCTTGTTTTTGTCACAGACCAAGATGCTTTGTATTGTTCTCAATATAGTATATTAAAGGTTTTGTATTATACATACTTATGTTAGAAGTGATACACTGATAAACTACCTCCAAACTGTATGCTGTATACCAGTATTGGCTGCTTTATTAGACTTGTCATGTAGCCTCCTCCATTCCTCTTGGTTCATAAGATAAGACTTGTATGTAACTAGTAAAATAAAAACATTGACAAATATTTCAAACAGGCCAACTCTTTAGGCACCTACATTGCATGTGGAATTTATTCAGAGATTCTTTTTAGAGGATTTGCAACTAATTTGTTTCAATTTATGTGATACATTTATGGTATATTTTGTACATGTTTACAGATAGACCTATTGGCTGCAGCAAGATGCAACATGTTCTCACATGTCCTGGCAAACTATCAAAGTTCCTTCCAGACCTTCGCCACGAAAGTGGCACAAACTTTAATTGCGACTGCAGATACTATGAATACTGCACCTCAATATGAGTTTAGCATATTGAAAGAACTTTCTCAGAATTTGGGAGAAGGAGCCGAGGGAAAACCTGAGACGGTTACTCCTCAAGATAAGGATCAAATGTTGTTCTTCCAGGTACTGACTAACTGTTTCATTATTTAGACATTTATTGTACTGCCACAACAAGGGCACCTTCAAATTAGACGCTTGTAGAATCGCTGCGATGGCGCGACTGTGGCGCTGCAGCAGCGCGTCAGTAGCACTTCAGTAAATTTTATATATGTGGCGCGCGAGTTAAGAATGCAGCTTCAGCAGACAGTAGTTCTTTTACCTAGTTTAAAAAGATTTTAAACCTTGCAGAGTTTTAATAATTAATTGCAACCTACATTTATATAGTTGTTAGCACTCATTTATTACTTTTAATTAGAAATTCAACCTTACGGTATTGGTGATCAGGTTTCTTCTTTGTACCAACATCTAACTGCAATAAACTACCTCCCGTATTACTGCCTTTTACTTTTCCTTAAGTCGCGCGTGTCATGACAGTGGCGCTGCAACTGCGCTTCGAAATATTGTGTGAGAAGTAGCAGTGCAGCAGCAGCGCTTCTATAAGCATCCAATTCGCAGTCGCTCTAAATGTTTTTGTGCTCTTTACTTTTTATCCCGTTTGTCGCCACCTGGTAACATATGGGATTTTTTCCCATTTGTCGCCAGTAGAACTCACCACTGGCAACAACTGGGATTTTTTTATCCCACTTGTCACCACCTGATAACATATGTGATTTTTTCACATTTGTCGCCAGTAGAAACCACCACTGGCAACAACTGGGATTTTTTTATTCTGTTTGTCACCACCTGGTAATATTATTTTTTCCCATTTGTTGCTAGTGGGAACAAAGCCAGTGGCGACAACTGGGAATAAGCGCTATATTGATCTTCAGGTGTCCATTAAAATCAAGCACTAAATATGTGGAAAACCATGAAGGAAAATAGTTGAAAAATTGTGAAATATCATTCCATTTCTTACAGGATGATTACAAAGACAAACCAGAAGGCAATCAAAAATTAAAACAGGATCCTAATCAAGACTACAATGAACAATCTCCACTATCCAAAGAAAATAACAATGAACAAGAAGCATCGGCTGTAAATCTGATTGACACGAGTTGTTTTGAATCAGAGGGGGGTGAAGGGTCTAGTGTTATTTCAGATCTGGCTGGATTAAGCTTGGAATGTGGAGATATACCGGCTCCTTTTGGATCTTTCTTGCCTTCACAACTGTTGAAGGTATTTTTTTATGTCTGTATATGATATAAGTGGCCTTTTAGATTAATTTACTTTTATAGATGTCAAAAAATAATTTGTCATAATAATTTATATTAAATATTATGTAGCTTTTTGTATGGTAACAATAATAACAATCCCATTTGCCTGTATTTTAGATGTATTATTTTAAAAAACATTCTTAAACTGGAGAAGTCTATTATTTCAGGATCTTTGTTCTACGAACCTCCTGGAAGGTACAACAACAGCACTTAATACAGTTGACAATGATGCACCAGGTGACCGAAATGATCGTAAACAAATTCCAGTACCTAAAAAGGAAGATAAAGCAGCCTGGTTCAAACTGTTTGCTGAATTGGACCCGCTGGCAAATCCTGACAACATTCCTGGCTCCAACAGTAACCAAAGTCATGCAGCTTGATTTGATTTATGGAACATTTTACAACAAACATTATTACTATTCTGAGTTATTCCAGGTAGGCCAGACTTACCTCCTATTCACTGTAGAGAAGATGTGCAATAACTCTAATCATCAAGTTATATTTAGACCTGCACTAATTTATTCAACATGCTACACAAACAATAAAGTTAAAAGTGAGTCATTTCAGGGTCGAAAAGTAACTTGTAAGCTTTTATATTTTATATTTTATAGGTTTACTTTAATAGCACGTTTGGATGGATAAGTGGCACATTTTAAATTGGTTTAGAGATGTAGGTTTCCCTTAGCAAATTATTAAACAATTGACTGTTTAGTCACTTGGGGCTTAAGGATCAACGCTTCTAATTAGCTCGCAGCATCACTTCGTCCATACGATACGACGTATTTTGTATGGGGTACCATGAGCACGTTGAAGTGTGCTGATATAATACGCATTAAGTATGTACGCCAGTGGTGTGCAAATTACTTTTAACTATGTGTTGTCCCTGTTGTATGTATTCCAAATTTCTTTTCTGTCTTATAATAATGTTTTTACTAAAGGTGTTATCACAGGTACCATCCCCAACCTTTCTGCCAAGAAAACCGTATTAGTATTATTAGGGTGGCTTCTTTTGGGGCCTATGAGGCCCCTCATCACTGCGACCATTAAATGATCTCTTGTGATCACCATTAATTACAGCTCAGAGCCAAGACCAACAGCATTAAGGAACTGAAGGAGTTTCCTGGCTCCGACAGTTTTTATGTCTTCTGGGCGTGGCCTGTGCCTACCCAGTATGGAACTTCTTACGCCCATTAGTGGGCAGCACTGGGTGAGGAGACGCACAGGAGTTTCATCCGCCTCATGGCAGAATCTACATTCTCTGTTTCTGTCTCTCTGTCCAATATTTGACATGTGCTTGTTCAAGCCACAATACCCTGTTAAGGTTCTAGTCAGCATTCTGATGCCGAAATAAAACCGTATAGTGTAGGCCTAAGATAATGTAAAACGTGAATATTATAAAATATGAAATTGGTGGCAACAAAGTGTTACAAAAACGCGTGTCCATATTGTAGCTAGTAAAACTTAATTAACACTATCATCAAAAAATTTTGTTTCATTACACAAAATGACCAGTTAGTCAGAAATGTAAGCTGTTGTAAAAAATTGTAACATCACCAGCCAGTTACCATCACAAACTATGCCACTAATACAAACTGGATTAATTGTGTCCTCAAAAATTTAAACAAGTTATTATTATTCATGATTGGTTGAGATATTTTATTATTTGTATTCAATTAGAGATATGTTGCCATATCCTGTGAAACAACTGGCTGGGACCTCTATAAGTCGCTCATCTGTAAATAAGGTCGCACCTTTTCGTTATAACCTGTATATTACCTAAATATTTCTCAGAACAAAGTATTAACTTAGATTTGAACTAACTTAAATACTTAGAGCTTGTAAAGTTCTAGTCGATTGTCATAAAAATATTTATGTACATAAACAAAATGTATACCCTCCTTAAATACGTTAGAATTAATGTTTCATACAAGTATTGTACCAAAAATATTCTAGTCGAAAACCTGGATTTGTGTTCTGTTCATATACAGAGTGGCCCATTTACAGTGGTCCAAAATTTTTTTTAGATAGAGGACATTGTAACAACCCTTTTAAATTAAACGTTGGTTCAGCGAAAATTAATAGTTTAGAAGTTATAATTTTTTACGTACTTTTTTGAAAATGTTCTACTCTAGTCATTAAAACCGCTTTAGTTTGAAAACTATTGTACTGAATTCATTGAAATTTGCGTCCTCATTTTGATTCAAATCGGAATCAAGCCGATCGGGTAGTCTCGAAACCAGATGGGTTTCTGAGCGAGATGATCCTGGGGGTCTACTCACGATCTCCGTCCAACCTCTGTCCGAAACAATTACTGCCAAATAAGCAATACTTGACCAAATGAAAAGACGCGTGATGCGAATGAAGCTTCCTACTGGATACTTGTCTTTAAATTTAGTCGAATATTACTTATTTGACAGTAATTGTGTCGGACGGAGATCGAGAGTAGCCCCCCAGAATCGATCCGATCGGGTAGCCCATCCGCAATATTATACGCCTCGACTCGGAAAAGACGTAGTTTCCGATCGGGAGAGGCAATCAAAATCAAGGTGCTGATTCAGGAATTCTCACAAATTAGAAAGATATAGCAGGCTATATCTTTCTAATTTGTGAGTTAAATCAACTATTGTCCTGATTACAAATGTCAAAAGTTTCCGATCGGCCAGTTGTGAGTCGCAATTATGCACCTCGACTCGAAAAAGACGGTTTCCGATAGGGAGAGGCAATCAAAATCAAGCTATTGTTGGTGTGGAAGTAGGGCCATTTTTGTGTTTGCTCTTAGATTGCGCCGTTATTTTAGACATTTAAGAGATTTTTTATTTGTTCATGAATAAAATGTTAATTTTAGAAAAAATTCTGACTTAATAATGTACCAAACTACCTTAAGATGTAGGGTACTATTGTAACATCTTCATAAATTGACATGGCGTGCACTGAGTCACTAAAAACCAAAATTGACAATTTGTGTCTTATTTGTTATTCGAACAATTCTAACTTAATTTCTCAAAAGAAAACATTAGTTCAACTCAGATTTATCTTAATTTCTCTCTTAACTTGTAAACTATTGATTTTCGCTGAACTAATGTTTATTTTAAATGGGTTCTTACAATGTCCACTATCTAAATAATTTTTTTGTACCACTAAATGGACCATTCTGTATTTAATGAGTGATTGTTTTGTTTATTTTTCATTTATATTCAATGTAATGTCTAGGTGACAATAAGTTGAGTGTATTTTACCCTTAGAGGATGGAAAGTCTAAGATTTTACCATAGTTCAGTTAATCCATGAGTCTACATAACCTATGTTGTCCGAAAAGTCTGTGCGGTTTTTCTCTAGAAAAGAACTTAAAATGTTATATTATCTATGGCCATTTTCAAAATAATATTTTAGCACGAATTGTAAGAATGGGCGGGAAAGTTTTAAGTCTATAAATTCATCAAATTATTGTATAGAATTTTTATGTAAATTTTTAAATCTAAAATTACCGAAAAAGATTGTAGATCAATATGACAAGTATGCATATAATTGAATAAAGAATGATATTTTTTTATATGTTTTTCGGTTGTACTTTGATACCGCACGTAGGTCAATGTACCGCACGGACTTTTTGAAAAACGCACTAGTACAAAATTAAATAATACATTCCAATAAGTATTATTTAAACCAACGAAATGTGCCTACATTTGAGAAGTTACAAATACTTAGTAGGTAATTTTTTACAAAGGATGTTTAATTACCGAATAAATGTTTATTTTCATATGCTTTTAGAGTTACTTACGTATTGATGTATTTTATTTCGGTATTATTTAGATTCTAAATCAATACTTAATTAATTTTATGCATTAAATTTTGTGTAAATGAATAAATCGTGTTACTTACGCGAGTCGTTTTTTTTTACTTACTTTCATGAAAGTATCTGCTGTTGTATGCATTAGAGCGGCGTAATTTCTACGCGCCGCAGACGCGTGTATCGATACAAACGCGCGCAAATATCGCGAATTGCAAGCACGAAGTTTCTAAGTATACTCCACTGGAGTTCACACTTAGAATGTAGTTGCTTCATTTCAAAAACTAAGTGAAATTAACAAACAAAATAAAAATTATCTCTTATCAAATTGCGCGATACATACGCGTGACTACAGCGCAGTATATAGGGTGCAAAGACTTAAGATCAGCTGCTTGAAGAGGGAATCTGTACGTATTTCCAGTGCTTAAAATCATACTCAAGCCCTGACTTGAGCATTGAGCAGACTTCTGGAGTATGACCCAAAAGCTACTCTTAAGTTCAGGGTTTTCTTTTTGTAAGTAAGTTTTGTTGTCGATAGGTTGTGAAAGAAGATACAATTTTGCCAAAAACTTAGACTATGGAAAAAATGACTGATGATGATGATGAATGAATGATGATAAATTTTTATTCATACACATTTTAACAAGAGTAGCTGGATTTGATTATACATATTGAATTAAAATGTAAAACTTTAAAATATGTCTCCTCTTTGTATTTTTCATAAATACAACGAGGACACGTGTAACAGAGACGGGCATTGACCTATTTTGGAGATGGGGGCTTCATACATCCTAAAAAATAAAAAACCGACCTGAAAAGTATACGTGGAATTACATATAATTACCAAGTTTTATTGAAATCGGTTACCGGAAAGTGCGCAAATCCGGATTCATTCCCTAGTTCGCCTCTTGACGGACTTGACACAGGAGATAATAAAAATCGGTTCTCACTATTCAAAGTATTTTGAGAGAAAAACGCCTTTAAATGGAGAATAGCAAAATCAATCATTAAAATAATTGCTCTTTATAACAAAAATTTAGGCGCTATTTATAAAAATGAATCTAACAGCCACCCTTAGAGATGGATGATTTTCTTCAAAATTAAATGGGACCACTATGGAGGTACCCTCTTTCAAACAAAAAAAGAATCATGAAAATCGGTTCACAAATAGTGGAGTTATCGCGTAAAATACATACAAAAAAAAGGGAAAGGTGTACGAGATGATCCTTGGAGGTAAGATGATCCTTTTCAATTGTAGCGAATCTAGTAACGTCATCTAGATATTTTCTTCAGTAAAATATAATATAGGCCTCAATATGGCCTCAATGTCTCATCAGTCAATTCGTGATAGCGATGTTAGTGACGAGTTCATTTTTGTGGAAAAAACAAAAATTGTTTGAGTTTGATCTAAGGTAAAGATTAAAAGCTTAGGCAACTTCCATTCTAAGCAATCAATTGCCAAGTTTTTGTGTTTTGGTGGCTTTGTATAATGCTCTATTTTCTTTTTTAATGGCGTGGTACAGTAGACAGCATACAGGTTATTTTGCCGAACAAAAAATGAACATAAGTAAAGTGGGGCAAGATGATTATGGTTTTGGTGTACGAGATGATCTGTGGGGATCATCTTGTACTGTATATACTGTTAACGGACTATATTTAATTTGTATGTTTTTCTGAGTACTGAACCTCTTAATTAAATAGCTTGCATACGAATAAAATAGTGAAAGACTGCATTTCGTTTACATGATCGATCTCGATTAATAACAAATATAAATGCTTTTTCTTAAATAGTTAGCAGCAGGTCAGCGTTATGTCATTAAAAAGCGGGCTAAAGATGAAAATAAAGGGTCTGTCAAATACAATGAAATATTTAGGTGAAAAAAAAAACTGTTTTCATCAGATGTGTTAAACAGGAAATCGAGCTCGTTAAGTACATTAAAGATATGGAGACGAGGATGGATACCAACTTGCCATAAAAAACAATATCGCCCATCCATAACTACCTGTAAGATATAAATTAATTACGATTATTTGTTCTCGAAGTTCCGGAACTATTTTTTCATATACCTAGATTACATAAGTGAGGATTTTGTTAAGTCTAAAAAGTTGTTGTTTTCATTTGTTTCTACCAAAACCTAGACATTTTCCTAAATAGAGACAAGATGATCCCCTGGATATTCTTTCCCATACCCTTAGGATTAGGATTCTTTAGTAAGGTTTTAAAAATATTCAAATATAATAATGAAATATCAAAAAATAAAACGTTTTTAGTAATACAACATGTAAATAGATAAATTTTCTATCGTTCAACGCTTTGACATCTGCTTTAAGCTGAATATATTTTAAACTACCACCATTCTCCCTTAAGGGGATCATCTGGTACACCTTTCCCCTACAGTCGAATTGAGAACCTCCTTCTTTTTTTAAGTCGGTTAAATATACTACAAAACACCGACGTTATACAGTGCTTTTTTAAATGGGACAGTATGGGGAAATCCAAAACCATAGACGATACAAGGAAACTGTAGTAAGAACTTAAAGGATGGAAAAAATAAAACTAAGTCTGAAGAGTAAGAACTATTAAGTGTTTTATAGTATTAATGGCCTTGCCTTCGCATTTAGACAATGAAAGGGTTAGGAAAGCAGAATTACAAATTATGCAAGGGATACGGAATTTGGATGAAAAAGAATATGGTAGGTTGGGTTGGTGGATAGCTCGATTATAATAATCGGCATTTTTTGGTCAAGCGTAAGTTGACCACGTTGTGTTGAGTTTCATGTAAGGATCGTTTCATTGTATGAGTCGAAAAAAATTAGGACAGCAGAAGTTGACTAAATTTAATTGAATGTTTTTCATATGGAATGAACAAAATTGACTATTTTTTTCACTGCTGATAGAGTTATTTTTATGTAAGGATCATTTTATTGCATTGTAAGAAAAAAATCGGAACAGCAGAAGTTGGTCTAATTTAATAAAAATATTTTTTCACACAAAATGAATAACATTTTCTTAAATTTGACCAATTTCTGTTGTCCCGATTCTTTTCTTCCAATACAATAAAATCATTATCATAAGAAACCGCGTCTATTAGCATTAAAAACAATTAGTCAATTTTATTCATTTTGTATGAAAAATTTTTGAATAAATTTAACCACCGTCTGTTGTCCCGGTTTTTTGTCTTCTACAATGAAATGATCCCTCCATGAAACTAAGTCGATCAGCACTAAAATGTTTTGATCAGTTTTATTCATTTTTATGGACAACTCACTCTTAAAATACAAATAATATTTTCATTATTGTATTTGTAAAAATATATCAACAATGAAACATTATATTATGAAGTAGCATATCAAATAAGTATACTAATTTGTATTATGAAATAATATTAGTAGTTTTGGTCACCCATAAGCGGCCACATTTTCTGTAAAAATTAAAAAGTTAAAAACAATATGACTGGCTGAAATATGAATGAACACCCTATTACAAAAGAGACCCATTACTACTTTGAAGCCTCTCGTTTTATTAACATAATGCGCGGTCCAGTTTAATATACAAGTCCGTGCTCTTTAGCTGCACTTCTTGACTGACATCACCGCGGCATATGATAACGTAAATATTAAAATTCTTAAAAGTAAACTAGAGCAGCTAAATGTTCCAACCCTTTTAATAAATTTTATTTATAATATGTTATTAGAGAGATTTCTACACTATAACGTTATACATTTAGGACAAAACGAAACTATAAATAGAACAGTTTGGAAAGGTTTGCCTCAAGGCTCGGTACTGAGTCCAGTTTTAGACAACATTTATACTTTTGATTTAGAATGCTCTATTAAACGATGTGATGTCCTTCAGTTTAGGACGATTTACTTTTATCTTTCTATACATTTGGACATTCTGTTGAAGAAATAAGTGAGCATCTAACTGAGGATTTAAAATGTTTAAAAAATTGTCTAGATAGAAACGGGTTGGATTTATCACCAACTAAAAGTAATGTCATTTTATTTTCTAGAAAACGTTCTCCACCATTAGTAAATGTATCTTATGTTGATACGCCTCTCCCACTGAAAGACCATACCAAATTCCTGGGGGTAATTCTGGACTCTAAACTTACAGGCATTCCTCATTGTGAATATGTCACGATGAGGTGTGAACAGCTTTTAAATATTTTAAGATGTCTAACCGGTGTTTGGTGAGGAGCTCATCCAGTCACTACGAGACTTTTATACAACGCCCTAATTAGAAGTGTCCTAGATTATGGAACCATCCTCCTACATTCAGGTAATGCTGCTGCCTTTCGAAAGTTGAACAATGTCCAGTCCAAAGTCTTAAGACTGATCACAGGCGCGAGGAGATCTAGTCCAATCAATTGCTTACAGGTTGAATGTTGTGAACCACTCTTGTCTCTGGGAAGACAGTACCTTAGCGATAGATTCTTTTTCCTTTGTCTCCAACTAGAAAAAACGCTTAACACATTACTTTCAAAAATACAAGAATTAAACTCTGAAGTTAAGGGTCGTACTTTAGAACTCTACTCAATGCTCAAGTCAGGATTTGAGTATGGTTTAAAGCACTCGAAATCGTACTCAAGTCCCTGCCATTAGGGTCGTATTTCCAGTAATAAAGTGTTTAAATAAATAAATAAATAAACATTAACCCTATTTATTAATAAAAATTATATGAATCTGTGATAGCATTAAGTTTATGTATTATTATCGTTTATAAATCCACATCCTTTTACATATTCCAAATTCCGGTCCGTTCTGTTTTTCCTATATCCTTGTTTTCCTAACTTTGACATTGGCTAAATGCTCTATCTGCTCTATGCATAGCCATAATTTAAAAAATATATATGTTAGGTAGGACCAGTGCTGCCATGTGCATCGTAATTACGGTAAATCTAAGCGGTAAATGCACCGTACTCAGCACAAATTTACCACCTATCGTCGACACATGACAACGGTGATAAAATATACCGTAATATACAGGAGCTGGATTTTTTGTAGGAAAGCATAGTTTAAAAAGTGCGAGATCGGTGTGCATACATTAAAAGGTTAAATTAATAATAACCTGCCCCCTTTAAGGAAATCTTTTGATGCAGCAATCTATCCAAAGGCATAGCAAATATGCGTCAATTTTAAGCGAGGAAATGTTGAAAAGATTAAATCATAACATTTATAAAAATTAAAAGATTGTATTTGATAATAGCTGTATTATAAAAAGGATGAGATTTAGACTAGTTTTTATCAATGTGTTCGTCTTCTCATTTTTGTAAATGTTTAGATTTATTTTTTTCTTATAATTGTAATTTTCCTTTATAAGTAGTAAAAAGTAAATTATGCACTAAAATGGTTTTTTATTAATATTTACTTAGGTATAAAATTATAAAACTTATTGAAAGTATATTAAATTAATAATACCTATACCATAATTACACTGTTTTTTTCCTGGGTCAATCACCGTAATTTTTTGACCAGATTTT